GAGGAGTCGTCAGAAAAAGCTGAACACTATTGGCTGCTTGTGTGCGGATTACATCACTGACAGCGTTTCAAGCTTTGGAGAAAGCATTTAAAAACATCTTCAAATCAGCTGATTTATGAGCGGATTAATCACTTATCTGCAGGTTCCAGTGGATAGATACACAGAGAGTTTTTAATTTTTGTAATTTTATAACTCTTTGAAATAAAATTAACATATTTATAACACCCTGCCATTTTCTAACTATTAGTGTATTTCTTTCTGACATTGTTATTTTTTTTTATTACAAAACAGTAAAGAACTAAGCATTTCTGCCTTAAAGAGCCCATATTATGGGTTTTTGAAAATTCCCCTCCATGTAGTGTGTAACACAGCTCTAAGTGAAGTGAAGTATCCAGCTAAGGCTTAAATCTGTAAGAATACAGTGTTTAAAACGGTTGATTCATCTATAAAAGAGTCGACTCATAGTGCTTCAAACGAGTCGCCTTGATACCGACTCATTAGGTGTTTCGCCATGACGTACGAACGAAACCAAGTTATTCACGTGCACGCGCAAACCCGGGAGATTTCAAACCTGAGGCCCCGCCTTCTGACGCAGAAACCCAGAGACACACACACACACACACACACACACACACACACCCACAAACACACACATACACACAAACATGCCGGTCGATTGAAGTCACACTGCAGATGGATATATTGAGTCTCTACCCAAAGATGAAACCTCAGCATTATAGCCAAGCAGTTGGAAACTACTGGAAACTTCTGGAAACTACATGCTACAAAGAATACTTTATCAGCGTTTGTTAAAGGAAGGATCAGTAAAGAGTAACTGATGGACGTCAGGATGGGTTTTTCTTCCTTCATTTCTCAAGTGTAAGTACGTGTGATTAAAGTTGCCTCGTTGACTCTAGCTTGCAAATGTATTTAGTTGTGATTTGTTACTTGTAACCGCGTGTACTGTATCAGGTTAACTGGCTATATTCTCTTATCGCATGCAAAGCCACGTTAAAAACGCGACGCGTGCTGCTTTGTTAACGGAGCTCTGTGGACGAGGAGTAGTGTGTGTATCTGTGTGTGCGTGTGCGCGCGCTGTCGTCCGGAGGTGTGTGTAATTGTGTGTGTGTGTGTGTGTGTGTGCGTGTGCGTGTGTGTGTGTGTGCGCGTGCGTGTGCGTGCGTTGTCGTCCGGAGCAGGGTTAAGTGCGTGTGTGTGTGTGTGTGTGTGTGTGCAATATGTGTGTGTGTCTCTGTGAAAAGAGCAGAGTGAGAAGCTAGGAGATCTCCTCAACTGTTTTTGGAGTTTTTGCTCAATAAAATAGTTAGTCGTCTGTATTTTCAAGTCCATCGACTGTATTTACATTGACCCACTGGCAGCTAAAATCCACGCCTACACTATCGAGCGTGTATGAACTGTGATTACTTTTATATTGCTGATTAGCTGTTTGGCTTTTCACTCTCTGACTGAAGGCAGTCGACCAATCGCAACAGACTGTCATTGGTCCAATCGGCGCAGATTAGCTTCGCGCTAAGGAGGGGTTTGGGAACAAATGAATCACTGGATGATTCATACAGGAGTCGCTGGGATAATTAGGTAAAAATAAATGCAGATTATAAGACCACGAAAGTGTTTTTTGACCTTGCATGCATATTAAACTGTTGTTGGAGACCCTTACAACCAAGATATGACCCTATTTCATGTATAATATGGGCTCTTTAAAATCTTTATTGCAACAGTAATAACTCATCCATGGTTATCGTGAAACTGGTTGACTTTGTTTTAAATGTGGTAAAGCATGGTTATGTTTGTGAAAATACTAATAAATCTTCAACTGTTATTGAGAGTGGCGCATCATTTTTGTTATAACCAGCACCTGGTGGACAGCTGGTGGTCCATAAGTATGTATGAGCAAAACGCAGGTGAACCGCGCCCCCGCGGTAGTGGTGGGCAAAGCGAGGCTTCGTGAAACACTGAAACAGTCGAAGCAAATGTATCGAAGCTTCGAAACGTTTCGAAACCCCACTCTACAGTGACATCTAGTGGTCATTTTTTATGTATTGCACTGAAACAGCTTCAGCAAAGAACAGTTGAACAAATTGAGGGATTAAACCCCACTTTGTATGCTTAATCCTTCAAGTGTCGTAGTACAGTGGTAAAGGTGTTAGACTTCCTTGCGGAGATAGTAGGCTTCGAAGCTAGGCTGTCAAAGTTGTTTTGAAATTATTTAATACCAATTGGTAATGCTTTGCTCTTGTATCGTTTTGTTTCAACATTGGTCTGATATCCGAATAAACAATTTGTAAATAAATATGTCTTGTTTTTGTCTTAAAACAGGGTTGTTGCTAGATCAAAAACGGTGGCCTAAAGTTATCAAGAATTATTTATATTATTCATTAAATTTCCCATTTATTGTGTTTTATTAATGTCTACCTAATCCCATCCATATTGTAAAAATATTTATTATTGTTTTACAGTGTTACAAAAATGATGCTAAATTGATGGCGTAACTGCAGCTGTATTCTATTTAGGTTACACAAAACAGAAAAATGTTTAAAATACATAAAACGATGAATTCAGAGTATTTGTACAAGTCGGGATGCGAAGCCAAAACATCATGTGGCGATTCTGTCCAGTTTGTATACACACAGTCCTCTAGGCCATATGATATAGAGGTAATTTTTGACCTTGGCAGTCAAATGAGGATTCGCCAGGTCTCGAAACGCTTCTAAGCTGATCGATGCTTTGAATCGCTTTAGTCACGTGACTAAGTGTTTCGAAACACTTTAGTCACGTGACTTGGGTGCTTCGGATCATGCTTCGGTGCAGTGTTTCGAAATGCTGCGTCCCAAATCGCATACTTATGCACTATTCTACGCCATTTTGTAGTATAAATAGTGTAAGTAGTGTGTTCACACTAAAAACACTAAAAATAATAAGAGCACTTCAATTACCCGGATGATGCACTCATTCAGCTGCTAAAATGAAGTGTGTAGTGATGGACACTTACGTAGCGGAAGGGGCGGAGCTATCGGACGCACATGTTGAATAACTTTATTTATTTTGGATGGTGAAAGCAAAATTCTCCTACGAGAGTGATTATAGCGCCTCCCGATGGTGAATGCGGCAATACTCACGGCAGGTTTTATTTGATAGTTTGGTCATTTATTTCAATGATTTGGCAACCATCAAACGTCATCAGGGAAACGGTTTGAATTTCCGCTTAGTAAAAAAACATTAGTGTGCCATTTGGGACAACACTACATACATATACTTTCCTGTTGAGTGTGTAAGTGCATAAGTACATAGTGCATGAGTGCATAGTGTATAGTGTGCCATTTGGGACACAGCTACTTGCGCTTCAGGATCTCGACACTGTGTCGAAACATCAGAAACGTCAGTATTTCCGGTTTCATCGTCCCCCACACCGGACAGCATTTCCGATCTTATTTGGCAACACATGGCAAGCAATGTTATCGCACGTTTGATGGGGCGACGTTACTGTGAGACGTATTTGAGGCGACGTTAGTATCAGACGTCTTTGAGGCGGCGTGCTTATCACACCTTTGTTAAGGCGACGTCAGTGTAAGATGTTTGTATGAGGCGACGTGCTTATCACACGTTTGTTGAGGCGACGTAACCTTAGGTGCGTTCGACTTCATGCAGCGCTGCGCAGATCGATCGAAATCTGTCTTAAAGCGGTGCATTCTGGTTAGAAATCTTGTCCGGATTGATGCTGCGCCGACGCCACGTGACTGTCACATGTGGCATCAAAGTACCGCGACAGCGCTCCGAGATCAGACGGCTGATTCAGACCATGCAGCTTCTGAAGAGCGACTGCAGGAGCTTTGATGACGACACCGATATTACACGATTGGCCGAGTTCACCACATGACAACAAACACGTGTATTTCAGGTTTATTATTGGACAAATTCCGATTCAAAAGTTTCAAAACAAACAACTCACTTTTCACACCCTCTCTATCCTGTACACATCTTGCTTATTAAAAGACTACAAATATTTTACTGCAGTATCATCTTTTGTTAAATAATCTGGTTATAAAGGTTGGCTTGTTTGCACAGGTTTATTTTTAACTTTTTATACTGACTATTTATTGCATTCATCTCCACGAATGATTTAAATGATATATTTTAGTGAATAACCTAAATATGAACTTAAATAAGTCTTACAGACTTGACATAAAATAATCATCATCATTGATCCTGCCACCTTAAAGCTCTCTCAACAAATTAAGTTAAATAACTATTTTATTAAATAATTATAAAATGGTTTTATTATTATAATATAAATATATATTTTATTTTCTATCTAGCAGTTTAAAGGCTACCTGCTCTTTCTGGGAAACTTCTACATAGCTCACTTATTTTACCTTTTGTTCTTTTCAACACAATCTTTTTGGATTAAAATGCTTTTTTGAAAATTCATTCATTATCCAAAATAATCTCATTTATTAAGACCTAATCAAAACACCTTGTTTTGCTTTTTACATGGGAAATTTTTATATCTATAAATGTACATATATGTAAACCCTTTTTTAGCATATTCAAACAAGAAGTATTAGCCCAAAGAGTGATGTTTAACTCCTAGAATTTATGCTTATTGCTTTGTATTTAATAGACCTGTTCGTTTTTATGTTTATATTAACCTCTCATTTCCTCTTATTTCTCTCATGCATTTGTTATATATTTTTCATAATTCTCTCTTATTGTTTAAAAAGGAACTATAGTTTGTAGAGACTGTATTCTGTTTTATTTGTAAATGTTTTGTTGTTATAAATAAAAAAAACAAAAAACAAAAAAATATGATGACGCCATGTGATCGGTCATCATGACTGCAGCAACTTTGAGTCCCGAAGTGTCCAGCTGTCCGTCTTGACGGCTCCATTTTTAACTCCGCCCCCGCCTGCGCTCGGCTAATCTCGTTGATCACCGGCTGCAGCTGAGCTTCATGTCGAACGCACCTCTTCTCAGACGTAAAAGTACACGACTGTCTCCTTCGTTCGGTACAACTGTCTCCTTCGTTCGGTTATCCGTGGCACGATCCACTCGCCATAGGAGGAACGCCATATTATTGGCCCATTCCGGACGCCATACGCCTCGCGATCGCGAGAGTATTTTGGCGTACGTCAGCGTGACATCAGAGCGACGTATAGGCAATGCGGACACATTTCTAACCGGCATGCATCTGCGGTGATCACCAGTGATCGATTCTGCGCAGATTTTGACCATCTTAAACGAGCCTAAGATCTTTAACCAGAACGCACCGCTTTAAGACAGATTTCGATCGATCTGCGCAGCTCTGCTTGAAGTCGAACGCACCTATTCATTTCGCATGGTGTCCGACTTCTCATGTAGGCCTACATTTTTCAGCCGTCTTTTTACTGCAGCCCCCTGCTCTCATTTATGTTACGATGCAGTCAGGTCGAGGCGGATTGTTTTTCCAGTGAGGCGACAACAAACCAAAAAGCTTCTGGGATTCAGCACAGAAACTTTCTAAACGCTTATGCATCATATATTCGGAATTAATTATTTTTGGAAAAGTACTAAAATTATGCTGTTCTGTTGCTGGTGTTCGTTGCTGGTGTTCTGTTTCTGTTACGGTAAGATGTGTTACTTGCCCTGGTATCAAAAATGATTTAATTTCTAATCGTTTCATGTTTGACTTGACTGAAATACAGCCAGCCAATGTATTTTGCTTATTGGCGTGTGTTGTTGCTCAACCTTAATACCTGTTATTATATTCTCAGTTACTGTATGTATGTATGTATGCCCCCCTTTGAATTTGTTTTAGTTTTTTAATATTTCCTAAATGATGTTTAACAGAGCAGGGACATTTTTACAGTATGTCTGATAATATTTTTTCTTATTTGTTTTATTTTGGCTAGAATAAAAGCAGTTATTTATTTTTTTAAACATCAATTTAAGTACAAAATTATTAGCCCCTTTAGGCTAATTATTTTTCAGATAGTCTACAGAACAAACCATCGTTATACAACTTGCCTAATTACCCTAACCAGCCTAGTTAACCTAGTTATGCCTTTAAATGTCACTTTAAGCTGTATAGAAGTGTCTTGAAAAATATCTAGTAAAATATTATGTACTGTCATCATAGCAAAGATAAAATATATCAGTTATTAGAAATGAGTTATTAAAACTATTATGTACAGAAATGTGTTGAAGAAAACTGCTCTCTCTCTCTCTCTTCCATCAAGATCCTGCTTGACAGCCATATTTATTACAGAAATAAGAACACAGGCATGTTAAAGCCATTTGAATTTCAACTTAATGCCAAAAAAAAAAAAAGCATTGATTTCCATGTTGGATTCTAAGTGGACTGCAAAAAAATGACAAAATACAGGCATTACAGATATGGAAAATTATAATAATAATAAAAAAATATTGAATACAAACAATTCACTGCAGGCTGGACTGGGACAAAAAAAAATTCGCCCCTGGTCTACTACATCAATCAAAATGCTTCCCTTCTGTGCATGCCCTTGAATATGTTTACCAACTCCCATTCTATAAAAGCACAAAAGCCATATATAGGAAATAACGAGAGTTGACAAATTAAAAAGTATTTTTTATTTATTTATTATTATAACTAAATTATAATCCATACTGGAAATGTTGGTGCCTGTGTGTTTTGAGGGAGCCTAATAAATAATGAACATAAAAACTGCCTGCTGACGCACACAGTTAATATTGATTAATAAATTACAGATAAAAATAATAAAAGCAATGTGTCAGAGACCCTTAATAAATGTTAAACTCAACAATGAAACATCAAACGTAGCTAAAAGATTTTACATTGTCAATCAAATGAACTTAAACAATTGAAAAATGTAACAAATATTTGTTTCTGCCCGAACAACAAAACTAAATGTAAAAAAAGTTGCTTAAGTTGCACACTAGTTTGGTCATGTATAAATATCATTATATTAACCATATTGTATAAATATTATTGTCACTATAAGCCTACATCATGCTCACAATCAAAAACACAATGTCATGATATCTCATGCGATTGTCTTCTGACGGAGTGCATCTTAAAATACATGAATGACACCCCTCATAGAGCTTGAGAAGCAGACATTCTTTATAATTTGTAAAATAAAGACTTGCAGGTTAAGGAAACAGCATAGGGGAAAGTTGCCGCTGGCTAGGTAACTAGATAGAATAGACGGGTATAAATTGATCTTTGCTTATACACACACACACATATATATATATATATATATATATATATATATACATACATATATATATATATATATATATATATATATGTGTGTGTGTGTGTGTGTGTGTGTGTGTGTGTGTGTGTGTGTGTGTATATGTGTGTGTGTTTGTAAAGCTTAAAAACAACCATATGCAATATATGCAACAACATCCACAATAATATTATGTGTAGGTCTACTGGTTTCTATAAATAATTCAATTCTACTCATAATAATTCAATGTTGAATTATTATGTTTGAGATATATGCTTGCAATCTGTCATATCAGACAAATTTATTCACTGGTAAAATCAGACATTTGCCATTATCAGATTATATTCAACAATATATAGACTAGAGTAGTTATACTGACATTGTAAACCTTTATTTTCATGCACAACTGTGGGTTCTCTATAAAAGAAAAAACATAACAAATGTTACCCCTAAGTTAGTGGGTTATGTCACATTATATGTCACACTCGCGAAACATTGGGGCTTTGAGGCTCTGGGATTCAAATTACTGGCCAGAGTTATTTAAAATTAGACTATTACAAAATATATTAAATATAAATGTATTAATTATATAATAAATATATTATATAATGTAAAATTACATAAAATAAATAAAAGGACAAGTTCTGGACCTTTTGGCCGTGGAACACGGATTTCTACAAAATCATTCCCATCCTTCTAAAAGAATTACATTATGGTGAAATACATTTTATATCATAATAAATGTTGCAGAAAAGGAATAAAAAATGTTAACTTTTGAACTGCCCATATATGTACACTTCACCCACTTTTCTGTTCTGTAATTTAATTTGGCTTATAAATTTTCATCATTATTATTTTCAGGTGCAATCAGTATTGATCCAGACACAGTGTCAGCGATGGAGGACGATTCAGTCACTCTACACATTGATACTGAAACAAACCAACACGACGATATTAGGTGGTATTTTAATGGCATTCGTATTGCTCAAATCTATAGAGATGGCATTTCTATTTGTCCAGGTGATAATTGTGAAAACGATACTGAGAGATTCAAAGACAGACTAAAGCTGGACAAACAGACTGGATATCTGACCATCATGAACATCGGAAACAAAGATGCTGGAAAATATATACTCAAGATTATACAGACGAATGACATTTACGACAGGATCTTCATTGTTACCTTCATTGGTAAGTCAGATAACATCACATTATCAGTTACTGATATTGCAGTACTTCAGCACATGCTTGCACGTTCATGTTTAGTGCATGTTTGTGAATGCAATAAATTATCAAATAGCGTACATCTATAAAGGCACTTTCAGTGCATTTGGAAAGTATTCATAGCGCTTCACTTTTCCCACATTTGTTTATGTAACAGCCTTTTTTCAAAATGGAATAAATTCATTTATTTCCTCAACTCTACACACAATACCCCATAATGACAATGTGAAATAAGATTTTTTTTTTAATTGTTGCAAATTTATTAAAAATAAAAAACTTGAAAAATCACATGTACATCAGTATTCACTGCCTTTGCTCAATACTTTGTTGACGGACCTTTGGCAGCAATTACAGCCTCAAGTCTTTTTGATAATGATGCCAGAAGCTTGGCACACCTGTCTTTGGGAATTTTTGCCCATTCCTCTTTGCAGAACCTCTCTAGCTCTATCAGTTTGGATGGGAAGTGACGGTGTACAGCCATTTTCAGATCTCTCCAGAGATGTTCAATAGGATTTAGCTCTGGGCTCTGGTCTGGCAACTCAAGGACATTCACCGAGTTGTTGTGAAGCCGCTCCCTTGATATTTTGGCGGTGTGCTTTGGGTCATTGTCCAAGATGAACCTTTGCCCCAGTCTGAGGTCAAGAGCACTCTGAAGCAGGTTTTCATTCAGGATGTCTCTGTACATTGCTGCCAATTGGCAAATTCCAGGTGCAGAGTAGTGTTGTGACGGTGAGGAAATTTCCCCACCGGTTAATCGACATGTGACAATACCGGTATCACCGTGGGAGTGGGCGTTTCTTCTTTTCCTCTTTTTTTCTGCTTTTAAATAGCTTATAAATGCGCGTGTATAATACTTTTACTTTCAGTTTTGCGGGTGTTGCCAATTCGGCGTCAATTGTTTCAATGGACGAAAAGGAAATACAAAAAAAAAAGCACTGTTATTAAACAACACATAACTTTTATTAACATAAAGAATAAAACACAACAATGCTACAGGCTAAAAAAACTGTGGAAGTTGGAATCATACAAATAACAACCGTAAACGCCTATATTACATATTAACAGCTTAGTCCTTATGAACAATTCATTTATAAAATACATTATTAACGAATCTATAGGCTATTGAAGAATAAACCAAATATGAAATATGATCCTTGCATAATTATCACAACTAAACAAGCTGGCACTCATTTTATATAACTATGAATAAAAAATGTTATGAATTGGAACATTATGTAAAAAATCTACAGGCTAAATAAAAGCGCCTATGTCAGAGCTAAACATCACCGCACACGTGTCAGATTAAAGCTTCTGTAAAGATCAGACAACATATACAGATCACACAATCTCAATAAACAACATGTAAATGTATAAATATTTCGATAAGTGTTGTTATGGAGTATATATAACAATATGATCTTGCTTTTTGGTTATATCGGCTTAATCTCTCTTACAAGTGGCAGTTACAGGCGCTGCATAAGGGGGTCTCACACTGTCAGTGGCGGAATACATACAGCACTGGCAAGACCTTTTATTTTTAGTTTTATTTGTTGCTGATTTGCGCGTTGTTCCTTTTCAAAAATAGGCCTACCTTTTATTTTTTAAATCTCTCAAGTAATGTTGACTATCGAGTAACATAATCTCCCTCGGATTGGAGTTCAGTGCGCAGTAAGACTGTTGACCAACAAGTCAACACACTGCATAAACTGTACAGGTCCACAGCTCTGGTGTGGTTATGAATTACATGATTTAAATGACAGCGAGACATGATACGTTTAGTTTTTATTGTAAAATATACATTATAACCCAGTACACAGTAAAATAATGTTTTGAATGGCTTGTCTATTGACGGCTTATATAGCCGTTAATTAAATACACTGTAAAAAATAATACCCAATATCTACTCAATAAATTTGAGGCAACAGATTACAAGCAATATTATTAATTAAATTCAACATATATGGATTGAGTAACAATTAATAAAATTAGCTTATTTAAAATTAGTCATTTAAATTGAGTAAGTAAAAATTACTTAAAGAAATTAGCAAATTTTAAACAAAAATATTAATTAAATTGAACAGAAAAACTGACACAATGTTAATGAAAACTACTCAATGTTTTTATTTAGATTTAACATAAAAAGTGTGGAACCTGGTCATCAGCTCTAGAAAATAATGCTTTATATCTACACAATAAAATTGAGGCAACAGATTACAAACAATAATATTAATTAAATTCAACAAGTATGGATTGAGTAAAATTTAATTAAATTTAGCTCAAATTAGTGGAGCCTGTTCAGAAGTGTGGAGCCACAATACAGAGTAACAACAATCTCACAATAGACAAAACATCACATAATACACAATAAAACATATACATTTAAACAAACTGATCATCTTAAATCATCTTTTTTTAAACAGTTTCAAACAACTGAACATTAAACAATATTATTTAAAACAATAGACTTAGGGTGAAATTTGTGTGATTTAATGCATGAAAGGTATTATTTGCCAGAATAATGCAGATTCATTGAAGCAAAGAGGACACCACAGATCATGGGAATACTACCCTCTAATATCTCCTAGTGTTAATCAGACAGTCACTCGTAAAAACACCATTTTTTGTCACAGTTAAAATGCATATGTCAAACCCAGGTGGACACAAGCTCTGGGAATGTAGTCAAGAGCTGTGTTTTCACTCTCGCGATTTAAGGGCCTACTCACACTATGCCATCCGTACCGTGCCCAGGCCCGTTTCCCGGATCATTTGAGAAGTGTGAGTGCGCTGAATCGCACTCAAGCACGGTTCACTTGGCTGGCCCTGGCCCAGTTGGAAGAGGTGTGCCTGAGCGCGGTACACTTGGGCTTTGGCGCGGTACGCTTGAGTGGCCAAAGCCCGAAACCGAAAGCGAGACGTGACTTTTAAGGGACTGTTTGATATGGATTTATTAATCATTCTTACTGTTCAGTGAACGCAAACTGCCGTAGTTTATTAAAGACGCAAACTCCTCACTTCACGACAGCTGCGCGCCTTCAGCAGACCTCCTCATTCCTGCAGCACGAGAGCTTAATGATTGTTTATGAGCGCCAAAAGTGGCGGATCTGTTGGGCGAAATATCTGACTGCGTGTCACCACATCCCTAAGGACTGTTTGGCGAAAATCCAATTCAAGATATCTACAACTGTAATTCGACTATTAGTAAATTAATTAGAGATCTTCAAATATATTTGTAAATATCTCTAAATATGATGAATTAAAGACATCTCCAAATGTATTATGACTAGTAAAAACTCAGAGATATCTCTAATTACAATTGTGGCTAATCAAAACTCATTTAGAGATATCTGCAAATATTTTTCAATGGAAGTCAATGGAGGAATATGACTAGTCATAATATATTTGCAGATATCTCCAATCTGATTTCGTACTAATACAATTGTAATTCCAGATATCTCTAATTGTCATTCTGACTAGTCGAATTATAATTATGACAAGTCAAAATATAATTAGAGATATCTCTAAATATATTTATGGAGTCAGAACAAAGATTTAAATGCTAAAAGGGTTGCCATAGAGAGCGCTTCTGAACAGCGCAGCAGCGATGACGTAAGCGTGCCGAGGCCCATATGGTGTGAGCGTGGGCCGTCGGGGGAGACGGGAGGGGGGACAAGCGTGCTTTGGCCCGGTTCGAGGCAACTGTACCTAGTGTGAGTACGGCCTAAGTTAGCGTGCCAATATGAGCCAGGGCCAGTCAAGTTTCCACAGTCACTTCCGGGGCCTGATCAGATACCCTGGGCCGAAACAGTCCAGCTGAGGCTTTGGGCGGAGTGAAAGCAGAGTTTGCCTGAGACTGGTAAAGATGAGGTCTATAAGAACTTTAACACCTTCGATGATGATGATGATGATGCCAGTATCTTTAGGCGGTCCCCTGTAGAAGGCCCCTGCTCAGGTCAACATTACTGCCCTCACAAGCCGTTCAGTTCTTGTCGGTTCTTCATTGTCCAACTCCATTGAGCAACAGTAAGAAAAGAATTTATAAAAGAGAAAATATGTTAACAATCTGTTATCATGTTATGACACAGTCAGAAACTGCAAACATGATAAACATCATAAACTCTACCTTTAATCTCAGAACTCTGTCTTACTCCAGGAGCTCCTCAGCAGCTGTGAAGATTCACGGTGCACAGTGGCTTCTCTCTCCAATTCAGCGCTCACCTTAAAAAACAGAATGACAGACAAAATGTTTACATGAGTTTTATTGATGCATTGTAAAATATTTGACCCTTAATTAACAGTAAATTACTGACTAATAATTGTATTACTTTCACAGTAAGCCACTGTGATTTGTTTTACACTTTATTACAGTGAAATTACAGCCATATGTGACTTCAAGGTAGATAGTAAGGCCCATTTCTGTGATTTCACCGTATTCTCTTGTAGAATTAACTATATTTTACTGTGAAGTTACAATTAATGGCAAGATGGTTACTGTGATTTAACAGTATGTTGTAGCTAAAATACTTAACTGTAACATGTATGTCCAGCTTGCAACCTAGACAGTCATCCATTCAGTCTGTCATTTTCCTGATAAGTTACACACTTGCTGGTTGATGTGTCTCCTCTGCCTCGGACACTATACAAAAAGTTGTAATTAGTAAATAGTGTTAGACAGTACCATTTTTGTTTTGGTTTGATAATGAGGTTCATAATGAAGTGAAGGCCAGTGCTTACCTTGCTTAAATTATTCTGTGGTCACTTCAACTCAATGCTGTGCTGAAATAAAACACAGTTAACACTAAGTTAACAGAAAATTACCTTTTTAAAAACTCATACACTCTCTAATACCACGAAATTAGCATTAACGTTACAAACACGCGTTCTAATCTTTTCACTCATCATAGCGCACGTGCTGCTGCTGATGTGACAATAAAGTGATTTGGTAACTTCGTTTATAAATAGGCGCGCTA